CAGCCGCTGTCCCTGGTCACCAAACCCGCTGACTGAGGGACAAACCTCCCCTCCTGTCCTTCCCCACCCCGTCCCCTCCCCGCTGTACATTGCAGAAGCCACAATCAAGATTCGAACGCAGCCAAAACCATTATTGGTCAATATTTGACCCTTTCTGAACTCTGTGGGGAGCAGGCTCTGGAGGGAAGGGGCTTTCTGCTCAGAGCTGCTGCCAGCGGTCAACCTAAAGACTGTTTTTATTAAAAAAAAGGAGAAAACAAAAAAAAAAGATTAAAAAATGATGGAATAGACCCTCCAGAAGGTGCCGCCGAGGGGGATCTCTGAGGGAGGAACTGATGCCCGTTGCTGCCGTGGGCACGGGGATGGACCCTCACGGTGGTGCCAGCCCCCAACACGGCAGGCGTGGGCTGGAACTGGCTCTCCATCCCGGATCCAGGGGCAGGAACGCCTCCAGCTGCTCCCAGATCCTGCTCTGTGCCCTGGCACGGGGCTGGTGCTGCCCCGTCGGTGCTGCTCCTGCCCACCACGCTCCTGCTGCGCTGGGCAGGGCCTGGGGCTGAGCCCCGGGAGGGGTTGTGTTTTTATCACCTCAAAAAATCCTGTTATTTTTCACAAAAGGAAATAAAAACTGCAGCTGCAGCTGGCGGTGTGAGTGTGGTCTGTGTGGGGAGCACTCGCCTCTTTTCCTCTGCCACTTTTCCTGGGAAATACCTCGGGATGGAATTCCTGCTCCCGAGCTCCTGCATCCCTGAACAGCTCTGGCTTTGGGATCAGGGAGATTTTGGGGTGCCACCAACAGGGCACAGCTTTCTAGAGTCACCCAGGGCATCAGGAGAGGGGAAATTGAGTGAACCAGTGCATGAGGAGCCAGGCACTGGGAGTTCCTGGTGTGTGCTGGGTGCTCTGGGGCTGCTTCTTCCTAACCAGGAATGGAAAACCACCAGCAGAAAACCAACCTGATGGATTTTCAACCCATTTGGGGTCCTCAGTCAGCTCCATACCTGGGTGTATCAGGACTTTTCCCTCTCCTTGTATTTCAGCAGGAAAAAACCCTCAGTTTTCCCCCCAGAACTCACGATTTTGTCTCTGTTGCAGACTGACCTGGAGCTGCACCTGCCTGGAGTTAATTTATGAGGAGGATCTGTCTGTGTTTTCCAGATGTGAGAGGTGTTGGCATCCATATCTGCAGCAGAAAACACCTGGATTAGAGGATTTTCATACCAGGGCTGGGCAGAACTCCAAAAACTCACACCTGAACCAGGCCCCAGCCATGGGCACTGACCTGAGCCTCAGGGACACACCTGGGGACAGCTCCAAAACCCTGTGCAAGCTCCAGCAGGAGCGTGGATGCTCCATCCATCCCAGGACCATCATGTGGGCAGCTGGAATTGCCAGCTTGGAGCATCCCCGAGCTGCCAGAGCCAAGATCTGAGAGGAGTTTCCATTATTTAAATTTCCAAATTATTTAAATTTCTGGCTTTCAGAGAGAAAAACCTATGTGAATTCTGGCCTGGAGCTGGGGAGGAGCAGCCACGTGTCACACAGCTGGGGCCGAGGGGATTAGGGTGCACCCACAACGTGCGTGGCCATCGCCTGAAAAGAGCCAAAATTGAGCTTTTTTGAGAGAAACCGTTCCAAGAAAAGTGATTTTTGGTGAGGAGGACGCTCGGCCCCGCTCTCCCCAGCACCAGGAGCAGGCTGTGCACAAGCAGCCCCTGGGATTGGATTTCATGGGGCATTAGAGGCATGGAGAGAGCCCTGTCACAGGGATTAAACCCCAGCCAGAGCCAGACAGCCCCAGACAGATGTTGGGCTTCAGCAGGAGAATATTCCTTTGTTTGACTCAGAGCTTTCCCATAGGGACAGGGAACATCTGTTCCACTGCCTGGTGCTGCTCTGGGGCTGGGGCAGGCTGGGGTGAGCCCAAGCCCTGCTCTGGGCACGAGGTGACACAGGGGAGCAGTGCTGTGCACAGAAATTGGGTCCTTTTTGGATTTTATTGTCCTCTGGAATGCTCCCACAGGAGCTGTGTCTGTCCATAGGTGTGAAAATGCAGGATTCAGAGTGGCTGTCCATGGAAAATGAGGTTTTTTGGATTTTATTGTCCTCTGGAATGCTCCCACAGGTGTGTCTGCCCATGGGAGGGGACTGGAACTGTCCTTTAAGGTCCGTTCCAAACGAAACCATTCCCTGGTTCTAGAAGAGGTTCCTATCTTTGTTGTAGGAAAAAAAACCCTGTAAAAATCCAGTGTATTTCCATTCGGGATGGTGTGACCAGGAGGTCTGGTGGCTCCACTCAGCTTTGGACAGGTTTTGGGTGACGTTCCTCATGATATAACCTGTCCTCAGAGCTGGGAGGTGAAATGGAGCCGGCAGCACAGGGTGAGGGAGGCCTGGGATGCTCCCCAGCAGGGTTTGGCTCTCTAGATGTGCCCAAAGGGGATCCAGGAGAGCTTTTGGGACACCTTGGGAGCACCTGGAGCTCTCGTGGCTGCTCTAAGGACACCTTGGGCGCACCTGGGGCCAGCCCAGAGCTCTCCTGGTTCTCTCTGGACACCTTGGGAACACCTGGAGCTCTCGTGGCTGCTCGAAGGACACCTTGGGCGCTCTCCTGGCTCTTTTCTGGCCGCGGGGCTCCTCCTGCCACCCCCTCCCGCTGGTTTAATTGCAGCCCTGCCCCCCTGCAGGCTGGCCAGGCACTAATTGAAAAGCCTAATGAGGTCCCGGGGGTCTCCTGCCGAGATGGAGCTAATTAGGGGCTGCAGCACGGGCTCCGAGGTTGCTCCAAACCCCCTTTTTCCTTCTCGGGGGCGCGCCAGATGTCCGGGGTGAGGCTGCGGCTCCCGTACTGTCCTCGGGGCTCCTGCCAGAGCAGCTGCTGCAGAGGCACTGGCTACACTTAATACATTTTAATTAGCGTCATTAAATTCTTCCATTTGCTAATTGTTCCTCCTTTTGATCCTTTATCCCGAGCAGATTAGCCCTCGGGGGGGACGGGGCGGGCTGGGGGATGCGGACACGTCGGGCGAGGTGAGGACTTTATTATCCTGACACCAGACCTCGGGACAGCGGTGAAAACACCCCAATTAGCGCTAATTAGGGCCAGATCTGAGGGTCCAGCCTGCTCCTGGAGAGAGCCATCCCCAAAAAGTGAATTTGCGGGGATTGGTGAGAGCAGAGGACGCCCCAAAGCTGAAGGTGGGATGGAGCTGTGCCCAGGTGAGAACGGGCTCAGGTGTTGGGGGGTCCTGCGGCTGCACCCCGGGGTCCCTCCCAGCCTGGGGTACCCCAGGATCCATGGACAGGAGGCAAGGGGAGGTCACTGCTCCTCCTCGTCCTCAGCAATGCTGGATCCTGCGCTGCCCACGGGCAGAATCCCAACCCCATGGGCACAAACTCGGCCTGAGCTCAGCCACTCTGCACTTCCAGGGGGTGGGTGGAGGCCGAGCATGAGAAACAGCCTCGGTTTTCTGTTGAAATCCCCCGAAAAGCGCTGGGCCAGCTGCTCTGGTCTCCCTGGGAAGGCTGGCACGGACAGCAGGGGCTGCTGGAATGTGCTGAATGGAGCTGAGATTCCCCGGGGATCGGGAAAAGGAAACCATGAGAGGAGAAATTCAGCCGCATCTCCCGCCACACTCCAAGGAGGATTGTTCTCTGCGTTGGTTTCTATGTGATGTTTTTCCTCTGTTTTAGGAGAAACTGCAGCGGGCCATGGACCCATGGAACAGTGTGATCCCTGCTGGAGACAGATTCCTGGATATTCAGCCCAGAGAAAGGAGATTTAACCGTCTAAACCAGATAAACTGAAAGAAGTGAACAGTCCTGGGTGCCTGCTGACAGTTTCCTGCTCCACTGGGAATCGCTGCTGTGGAACAAGACAAGCCTGCTTGGGCCAAAAAAGAAAGACAACAGGTTATCCAAAAAACGAAGCAGCATCTGAAAAGTAACAGGTATCAAAAATTTTTTAAATATCTGAAAAACAACAGGGTATTAAAAAAAAATATAAAATAATACCCGAAAAATAGCGTGTTATCCAAAACCAGCAGGTTCCCCAAAGCTGTCTGGAGGAAAGGGAAAGGAAAGGGAAAAGGAAAAGAGCCTCGATTTCCTGCTGGCTGTCCCCAGCCTCGCCCATTCCATAGCTGGTCTGGGGCTGCAGTCACTGCCTTTCTCACTGACTTCCGGCCCCGGGATCTCAGGGCCGGGAAACAGATTCCGAACCGGCGGGTTTTACCCTAAACCCCTGGGTTTTACCCCAAACCCTTGGGTTTTACCCCAAAATTCGGCTATGACCGCCAGAGGGCGCCAACCGCCTCCCAAAGGGACTCCCCAAGCCCCGCCCCCAACCGGAACAAGCCAGCCCACTCTCGAACACGCCCACAACCCCGCCCCTTAACAGGCCCCGCCCCACAGAGAAATGCTCCGCCCGAATATGCAAATATAATACCGTCTTCGCTCCCTCCCCGCTCTCGCGAGAGCCGCGCCCGGAAGCGGTCGAGCCGGTGCTGAGGGCCCGCCCGCCATGGAGGCCCCGCGGGCGCTGCCGCTACTGTCGGTGCTCTCGGTGCTGCTCCTGCTGCTCCTGGGGCTCTGCGCCGCCGGTACGCCGCGCCAGGACACTGCCGCGAGGGCGGGAGGGGGCACCGAAACCCTGGGGCCGGGTGGGGTCAGGCACCGCGCTCGGTTTGGGGGCTTCCTCTGCCCTTGGGGTTCCGCCGCGTTCGGTCACCGAGGGTTCCCCCCCCCACCCTCGGTAACCCCTGATCTCCGTTCCCCCCGAGGTTCACCGGGGTTCCCCCTCCGCCCTCGGTAACCCCCGCTCCCCCGAGGTTCCCGTCCCCGTGCTCCCCTCTGGGCTCCCCCGCTCCGGTGCCGTGTCCCCCGGGTCCCGCCGCCCCTCTCGGGGTCTCCCCCCGGTGCCTCTGACCGTGCTTCCCGTGTTTGCCGCTGCAGACGGCGGCGGATCTCCCGCGGTGTCTCAGGGAGCCGGAGCAGGTGACAACGGGGAACACACCAACACAGTGAACGCAGCCCCAGGGAATGGAGACGGGCAGCAAAACAACGGTAACTCTGACAATGGCAATGCCCAACCAGACACGAGCGGTGGGACCAACACGGATGAAAACACGGCAAACAAACAGCAGGACAACAGTGTGACTGAAAACGGCAGCAACGACGACAAGGAGAAGAAAGAGGAGGCACAGAGAGGCAGCGACACAGAGACTGCTCAGGAGGGCCAAGGTGCCAATGGCAGGGATGGAACCAGCAATGGAAGAGGTGGAGGACAAGGAGGTGGAAGCCAAAGCAGCAACAGCGGTAACACGGACAGTGGTAACACAGGCAAGACAGGCAGTGAGGGGCAGGACAGTGCAGGCAGCAGCACTGATGCCCAGGGCAATGCAGGGACCAGCAGTGATGGGCAGGGCAGTGATGGCCAGAACGGTAAAGAGTCCAACACTGCCAACACAGGCGGCCAAAGCAGTGGCACTAGTGGCCAGGGCAACACAGCGAGCAGCACTAACGGTGAAAGCAGCAGCCAGAGTGAAAACAATCAGCAGAACAATGTCAGCAAGAACGGCCAGGCTGGCAACCAGGCAGAGGGCACCAAGGAGAAGGACAGCGAGGATGACAAGAACAAGAACGGCAGTGAGAAGGGCAGTGAGAACACAAATGGCAGCACCAAGCAGAGCACTAACCAGGACAGCACCAACAAGGACAAGGGCGACAACAACAAGGGCACTGATGGCAAGGACAACAAGAACACAAATGGCATCACCAACCAGAACAGCAACACCCAGGACAACACCAACCAGGATGGCACCAACCAGGAGAAGGGCAACACCCAGAGTGGCACCACCCAGGATGACAGTGACAAGAACAAGGCTACCAACGGGGCCAGCAGCCAAGGAGGGCAGCAGGCCCAGGCTGAGAGCCCGGGCAGTGCTGCTGGCGAGCAGCCCCACGGCCAGGACAGTGCTCAGACCTCCCAGGAGGAGCAGAGCGCCGTGTCACACTCTGCTGCCCCTGCTGTGGACGGTGACAGCTCCCTGGAGAACGAAGAGAGCACCCTGGAGGAGGTGGCCAAGGCTGAGGAGGGCAGTGACCCCTCCCAGGAGCAGGACAGGGACAGGAGTGTCCCCTCCCTGCCCAGGCCCCGCTCAGAGAGCAGCCACTTCTTTGCCTACCTGGTGACCACAGCTGTCATTGTGGCAGCCCTGTACGTGGCCTACCACAACAAACGCAAGGTGAGCACCCTGCCAGCCCTTTCCCCTCCTCCAGACTGGTTCCTCACCAGTATCTCCCAGTTTGGTCTGGGTTCCTGTGGCCAGGAATGGGGCTGGATGTGGTGCGACACAGAGCTGGGTGTTCTCAGCTCTGCTGCTGGTTTCAGCTGAGAGGTGCAAACCACAAAGGGGTGTGGATCCCTCCATCTTATCTCTGACAGTTTCCTCCTCACAGATTTCTGTAGCATTACAAGGTTGGAGTTGTTTTTCCTCACATAAAGTTGGTTTTGAGGGAGGACCAAAAAAAACAAAATTCTTACTGTTTTGTGATTGTTGTGCAAACCTCATTATCCATCTTAGGAATGGTTGAGTGCTGCCATTTTCATGTTTCAAGTTCTGGGTCACAGGAAAAGGGTTGTGGGAGCTGGAAAATGAGAATCCAGAGGTGAGCCTGTGTTGGAAGCTGCTGTTCCACTCACCCCGTCTCCGTTTTTCTCTCTCCAAAGATCATTGCTTTTGCTCTGGAAGGAAAAAGATCCAAAACTGGTCGGCGGCCCAAATCTGGTGATTATCAGAGACTGGATCAGAAGGTGAGAGCCAGCCCAAAGTGGGGGTTGGTGTGCCTGGTGCGTGTTGGAAACACAAAATATTGTCCCTGTGCATTAGAAAGGGCCCCAAAGGCCCAGCTGAGGCAGTTTGGGAAGCTCAGTTTGATGCAGAAACAGGGTTTTGCCAGGAAATGGAGAAAGTGAGACTCAGGAGTGCTGGCAGAGCTGCCCCAGGGCACAGATGGGAGCTGGGCTGTGCTGGATGACTTTGTCACTGATCTAATGACTTGTCAGAGAGGATTTTAGAGGGAGAAGGGTAGGAGTTGTGGAGAAATCCCTTTCTTCTCTCCCTTGAAACCTTGTTCCACCTCTTGCCCTTCAGATGTGCCTGTAACTAATTTCTACCATAGGGAAGTTAGGAAAGCAAAGGCAGGAGCTCATGCTTGCTTTGGGAGCTTCTCAGCCCTCTGAAGCCTGGACAGAGCAGCAGAGTAACTGTGAGCTTCCAGGCAGTCCCAGCCTTTCCTTTTGCCTTTCCAGATCTGATTCCTGCTCAGAGGATGGTGGGGATGCAGTGCTGCCACAGCTGGATTCCAGCGCACGGGAAGGAAGGAGGGGAGACGCTTTTTGTTTTGCACCTGCACCTTGATAAAACCTCTCACTTCCCTGAATTGCTCCTTTCCCAGCTGCCTTGTTTTCCCCCTGGGCGTTTGGCTGCTGGAAAAGCCAGACCCAGGATTTGTGTCCCAGTGCAATGGGATTTGCCATCTGCTGGACTGACCCCTCCTTTTGGGGGGAATTGAGGATCTGCTGCACAATGAGCCACAGGACTGTCCCTTCCTGGGCACGGAGCTGCCTCGGTCTCCTCCTGCCCCTCCTTCTCCCCCTGCTGGGTTTGGGTTCTCAGGTTGGGAGCACCCGGGTTCTCTTGTTTGGCATTGACCCAGCCCTGACTCAGATTTGGGGTTTCTCTCCCTGATCAGCCTCACACCCAGCTTCCCTTTCTCACACAGGCCTCTGTCCATGCTGAAGCAGTTTTTGTAGCTCAAACCCGTCGTGCTCCATGCAGGTCTCTCCCCTCCCAGTGCTCCCAGTGCTCCCAGTTCAGCTGTGTGCACTGCGGGTGTTGGTTGTGGTGTGGTGGAGGAGGGGGCAGGCCGGGCAATCCATGCCCTGATGGCTCAGGGATTCAGATGGGAACATTGCTTCCTGCCCTTGTCAGGTGTAGGAAGGAGGGAATGTCAATCCCTGAGGGGTTTGGGATGAGGGAGGCTCCCAGTCCCTCCAGTGCTGGACTGGTGCTGGTCAGCCCAAGGGTTGGTGCCCCACTTACACCTGTGAGGTTTTCATTCCTGCAGCTCTGCTCCCCACAGGTTTCTCCAAGCTGGGATGTTTCTGGAGAGGGCACAAAGCACCTGCTTAGCTCCTGGTTTAGATTTTTCCAGAAGAAAAAGGATCTGAGGAGCCCAGAGCTCCTCACGTGGGTACCCAGCTGCGCCACATCGGGTGCCAGGCGTGTGCCAGTCCTGCACTGACTGCATGGAAGAGTCCCAGGATGGTTAAATTCCCGTTAAATTGTTAAAAAAATTAAATTAAATTTTTCTGGCCTTGCCAGGCTTGGGAACAATCAGCTCCTCGCCCTGTGGTCACCCTGGACAAGGGCAGAGCTGTTTCCTGGTCACTGTGAAAGCTGCAGCTCTAGTTTTGATTTGTTAATGGTTCATTCCAAGAGGGGAGAGAGGGCCTGGCCTTCTCCAAACCCTAAAACCATCCTTTCCCTTTCTGCTGGCTCTTGGCAAGCCCCAGAGTCCCTCTTGGCTTTGAAGAGTTCTCAGGGTTTCCCTAGGAGACATCCAGGCTGCTGAAAGGACTTGCAGGAGTTGTTTGGAGGGAGGGAAAGGGAAGCAGGGCTGGGAATGCAGCTCTGGGGAAAAAGGGTGGGAACCTGCTGCCCCAGAGCCCCTGGGGGACCAGCCAGGCTGGGATCAGCCCCTTGGGGAGGGGGACACTTCTGCCTTTTGGGCACAGCAGGGACACAAACCCTGCTGCAGCGTGTGGGGCTCCGTGTGCTGCTCTGGCCAGGGGTTTGGCGTGTGTGTGTGTGCTTTTTGGAGTGTGAGTGCTCTACGCCAGCTTGGTCCTGCTGTGTTGGTTTTTTAATTGAATAATAATTTAGAAAGGCTTTCTATTTTTTCACCGTCTACTTGCTTTTCTGTGCTGGGAGCTGTTTCAAACCCTCTCTTGCTCCAGGCTGTGGGAATCCCACCCTGCTGCCAGCAGGGCAGGGGATCATCTGGAGCTGGAGCATCGATCCCAGGCTGAGCCAAGCATTCCTTGGGGTGGTGAGGACACAGCTCAGGGTCTGGGGACAGGCAGGGCTCGCAGCAGGCTGAACTGGGGGCTTTTCCCCCAAAATCTCCCCTCCAGCACTTCCCGAGGCTGCTGTGTTCTGCCTGGGCTGCCCCAAACCTCTGGGGCTGCTCCAGTTTGTTGAGGTTTATGGTGTTTGTGCCACGTGTCCCAAAGGGATCAAGGTGCACAGGACCTTTTCCCTTTGGACACATGTGTCTGATGGTACAGAGGGGTTTTTGCCAAATATTCCTACTGTTTAGGCTTGAGCCAGCACATGATTTGTTTTCTGCTGCAGCGCAATGCACCTTGCTTGGAAGGATCAGAATTTTTTACAACTCTTTGTACTGTTTTTTTTTTTTTTATTTTCTGTGTGGTGAAATCAGTAAATGGATTAAAAAAGACACAAAAGGTTGAGTTTTCACTTCTCTCTTGGTTTTGTTTTTTTTGCACGTTCTTTGCGTGGTTTTCATTGACACCTGGCACCAAAGGTGCAGGGTGGCTCCTCTTTATGCAAAATAAGGTATTTTTACAAAAAGCCCTGTTTTTGTGGAGCTGTCTGTGCTCAGAGCCCCGTGTGCGGCCGGAAGGAGCCCAGACAGGCCCGGGCCAGAGCGGATTTGAAGTTTCCAGTCTGCTTTCCAGGGCCCAGTGTCAGCCCAGCTCCACTGGGTGCTCTCAGGTCAGGGCCCAAGAGGAGATTAAACTGCTCTGGACACAGCTTAGTCCTGAGCTCTGCCCTGGGCTTTCTGCTTTGTCCTGCAGAGAGCCCCAGAGGGCAATGCCAGCGTGTCCCAGCTGCTTGGAGCGGCTGGAGAGGTGTGGAGCAGGAGGAGAAGGTGCCCAGGGCATGCTGAGGGCACTCCGGGGCGGGTCTGGGATAAAGTCCCTCCTTTCCCTGCCAGGAGCGAATCCCGCCCTCCCCTCTCCTCCAGGCCCGGCTTCGAGCAGGGAGAGCCCCTGGTTTTCCTGGGAATGGGTTACTCACAGCTTGCAGCAGGAAATAAGGGTGAAAATGGGGGATCAAAGGGAGGATCCCATGGGGCTGTGGGGTTGGGAGGGACCTTTCAGACCCCTCAGCTCCCAGCCCTGCTGCCAGGGGCTCAGAGCACTGCTCTGTGTGCTTAGGGTGAATCCCCAAAACCTCAGGAACCCCCTGGCTGCTCCCACCCGCATCTCAGAGGGCTGGAAGGGCCCCAGAGGGCTTTGGCAGGCAGGACGGGTCCTGTCGTGGTGCAGGAAGCACTCTGGGCAGTGCCCGTGGGGCCATGTAGGGGTGGCTGCCCCCGAGCCAAAGTCCACGAGTGGAAATAATGCCAAATAAAATCAGAAATGCTTTGCCAGCTGGGCTGGGCCCTCTTATCGGGGCAGGATTGAGACATTGTGATAGAGGCAGCTCAGCAGAGAGGCCCCGAGGGTGGAGGAGCTCTCATGCATGAGAAACTGGGTGAAAGTGGGCACAGGGCTGGGCTGTGCCCTTCCACCCTCCTGCTGCTCTGCAGAGTGCAGCTCTCCCCAGCTGGGGCTGGGCTCTGCCAACAGGGGACAGGATGGGAGCAAACAGCCTCAAGCTGTGCCAGGCTGGATTTTGGGAAGATTCCTCCACCCCAGGCCCTGAGCAGGGCTGGGGACCCCATCCCTGGGGGATTCAGCAGCTGTGTGGATGTGGCACCTGGGGACACGGGGCACTCTTGGCAGCTGGACTTGGTGGTGTCAGGGCTTTTCCAGCCCAGAGCATTGCAGGGTTCTGTGAAATGCTGCTGCAGCCACTCCCTGAGCTCCACTCTGCCCCCCTAGCCTGCAAACCCCATTAACCTCCCCGGCTTTGTTTGATCTCATCTTCCTCTCCTGAAGGCTTTGCGTCCTGCACGGCCTCCTGGGCAAACAGCTGAACCTGGGCTGATCTCACAGCAGGTATTTTCCTTATGGGCAGGGCACCAGCCAAGCAAACACATCAGCTTTGCCTCTGCATGACCGATTCCATGGCCTGGGACTGTTTGTGTGGGTTAAAACACCACCAGCATGACTGAGATGGCATTTGCAGGGTTGGAGCTCCTTGGGGTGAGAAAAGCAGGAGGAGAGGCAGGTTTGGATCTCCTTGGAGCTGCAGGGGGAAGGTTGGGTGTCACTGCACTGCTCTGGGCCTAAATCAGCTGTTTCTGCTCTCCAGAGGGTCCCTGGGAAGAGGACCTGGCTCTTCTGCCAGGGGTCCAGTTCCTCGTTGCCAATCTCCCATCCATCCTTGCCATTCCCTGTGTCCTGTCCCTCCATCCCCTGTCCCCAGTCCCTCTCCAGCTCTCCTGGAAGGGCTCTGAGCTCTCCCTGCAGCCTTCTCCAGGTGAGCACCCCCATTTTCCCCATCCTGGACTCGCTCCAGAAGCTCCACATCCCTCTGGTGTTGGAGTAGAGCTGGGGGAAGCTCTGCAGTCCCCCCAGGTTGGGTCTCAGCTGGGCTGGAGGTGCCAGAGCCGCCTCCCCAGTTCCCTGCTGTGCCCTGGGCTCCTCGAGGGGCTGGCTCTGGGTGATCTCCCCTGGCAGAGCTCACCTTCTCTGCAAATCCCATCCCATCACTGAATTATCTCTCTGCTCAGTGATCTAATCCTCTTTGCCAGATCAGCCTTCAAGCCTCTTTCCAGGGCTCCTTTCCAGCACGGTCACACTATTCCCTGCTCGGTCACACTGCTTCCTGCTCAGCAGCTGCCTCTGGCCTCTGTTTTTCCATGCTTCCATGTTTTTCCATGCTCCATCAGCACATTCCATTCTTTCCTTTCCCTTCTCCCTCAGTACCCCCAGCCCCACTGACCCATCATGAGGCACAAACCCCAGTTTCGTGATCACTATTTTATTACTCCAGTCTCATGTGCCTCCCTTCCCATCTGGAGAGGACTTTCATCCTGTTCCCAAGCTTTTACCAGCAGACAGAAGGACTTTGTTGCTGCTAAAGGAGCACGGATGCCTTGGGGCAGGGCGGGGGGAGAGCGGCACCCGAACACTGGGAATTCTGGAGGGCTGGGGAATGACTCTGGAAGCACTGGACAGCCTGCAGGCTCTCAGACAGCCCTGGGGCTGCAGGGGTAGGTGGGCTTTGGTTGGGGGCTTTGGCTGGGGCTGCAGGTGGAGGTGGGCTTTGGTTGGGGGCTTTGGCTGGGGTCAGTGATCACAATGGGGTCAAGCAGCCACGGGAGCTGCTGGTGCTCCTGTTTTGGGGTTATCTTGACTTCTCTCCTGGCCTCAACAGCTCCTGGGCACTCCCTTCGTGGCCAGGGACCAGCACTGACATGATGGTGGAAGTGGGTGCATTTTTTAGGGGGGTGAGGTCCAACACAATCTGTCTGGGCATGGGAACGGCATCGCCCCGGATGAAATCCCTCAGCTGGGCACAGAGACGGGTCTGCTACAGGCGTGTGGCAGGTGAGGGTGAGCTGGGGTGCTGTGCTGGGGAGCAGGGGCCCTGCTGGGGGGATGGCAGCCTTTAGTCTCCCTTCTTGCTGCTGGTGGCCTGCAGGCGCATCTTCAGCCGCGCCACGTCCGCGTACAGGTTGCGCTTGAGGATGGTGCTGGCGCAGATGAGGGCTCCCTGCAGGGCCCCCATGAAGCCCCCCAGGCACAAATCCTGCCCTGCAAGGAGGGAGCAGCAATGAGGTCCCCTGAGAGCAGCCCTCAGTCCCCACTCTGTCCTAGCCAGCATCAGTGGGGGTTTGGGCATCACCCTCCAGCTGCCCCGCACCATCCCTGGGCTCTGAACCACAGCCCCCTTCCCTTGTCTCCAGCAGGAGGAGATCCCCACCGTGCCCTGGGCAGGGGACAGCCCCAGAGCTGGGGGAGCACAGCCTTCCCTCCTCCCCTGGAGCTCTGCTTTTCCAGGCGTTATCCCATTGCCCCACAGCAGCTCTTTGCTTTGCTCCATTTCAGGATTGCAGGTTTTCCTCGCCCCATCCCGCTCCCCCGCAGC